TGGTATCTACGAGGCACTACGACCACTTGAGACTTTGCCGATCGAAGGCCTCGTTCGTATCTGGGCCCACGAGGCACTCCGCCTGTTCCAGGATCGTCTTATCGCAGAGGAAGAGAGGCAATGGACTGAAGAGTGCGTCCACCGTATTGCGGCTGAACACTTCCCTACCATCGACGAAGAGAAGGCTCTTGCTGGCCCCATCCTCTTCTCCAACTGGCTATCCAAGAACTACGTGCCGGTTGAGCGTGAGCAGCTTCGCGAGTTCGTTAAAGCCCGTCTCCGTACTTTCTGCGAAGAAGAAGTGGATGTGCCACTCATCCTATTCAACGACGTGCTCGAGCACGTACTTCGCATCGATCGTGTCTTCCGTCAACCACAGGGCCATCTCATTCTCATCGGTGTCAGTGGATCTGGAAAGACAACCCTGTCTCGTTTCGTGGCCTGGATGAACGGTCTGAGCGTCTACCAAATCAAGGTCCACGGAAAGTACTCAGGCGAAGACTTTGACGAAGACTTGCGTACAGTGCTTCGACGATGCGGTTGCAAGGGCGAAAAGATCTGCTTCATCATGGACGAAGCCAATGTTCTTGACTCCGGTTTCCTCGAGCGCATGAACACCCTCCTTGCCAACGCGGAGGTTCCTGGTCTATTCGAAGGTGATGAGTACGCTTCTTTGCTTACTGCCATCAAGGAGGGTGCGCAGCGACAAGGCATCATTCTCGACTCACAGGAAGAGCTGTACAAGTGGTTCACGGAACAAATCGTCAAGAACCTCCACGTGGTGTTCACCATGAATCCGCCTGAGGAGGGTCTTTCGTCGAAGGCAGCCACCAGTCCCGCTCTTTTCAACCGTTGCGTGCTCAATTGGTTCGGAGACTGGTCAGACCAGGCTCTTTACCAAGTCAGCTCGGAGCTCACACAATCGGTCGATCTCGACCGTGCCAACTATGTCGCACCGGATAGCATCCCCGTTGCTTATCGTGGACTCACTCTGCCGCCATCCCATCGCGAGAGTGTGGTCAATGCAATGGTTGCTGTACACCACTCACTACGCAGCAAGAACGCGAAGTTGCAGAAGACACAGAACCGAAAGATGTACCTTACCCCGCGTCACTTCTTGGACTTCGTTGCGCAGTACGTCAAGCTTTACAACGAAAAGCGCGAAGACCTCGAGGAGCAGCAGCGTCATCTCAACGTTGGTCTTGAGAAGCTTCGCGAGACGTTCGACAAGGTTAAGGAATTGCGAGCAAGCCTTGCACAGAAGCAGACGCAGCTCACTAAGAAGGATGCCGAAGCGAACGAAAAGCTGCAACGTATGATTGCAGACCAGAACGAGGCGGAACAGAAGAAGGCTGGATCGATCAAGATGCAGGCTCAGCTTGCGAAGGACAAGGAGGAGATCCAGAAGCGATCAGAGGTGGTAAACCGCGATTTGGCGGCTGCCGAGCCGGCTGTGGCGGAGGCACAGAAAAGTGTGCAGAACATCAAGCGACAGCATCTTACCGAAGTCCGATCTATGCAGAATCCTCCTGCTGGTGTCAAGCTCGCTTTAGAAGCCGTCTGCACGATTCTTGGACACAAGCCCGACAGCTGGAAGACCATCGTTTCCATCGTCAGGCGTGACGACTTCATCGCCAGTATCGTACAGTTCGACAACGAGAGGCAGATGACTGCAGGCCACCGCAGGAAGATGCAGAAGGAATATCTTTCCCAAGAAGATTTCACTTTCGAGAAGGTCAATCGCGCTTCCAAGGCTTGCGGTCCCCTCGTACAATGGGTGTCTGCTCAAGTTACTTACTCCGATATCCTTGACCGCGTCGGTCCCCTACGTGCCGAAGTCGAGAACCTGCAAGTTGAACTTCAGAAGACGGAGGAGGGCGCCAAGGAAACCCAGGTCCTCATTCAGAACCTCGAGGAGAGTATTGGCCGATACAAGACCGAGTACGCGGCTTTAATCAGCGAAACTCAGGCTATCAAGACGGAGATGGCCACCGTTCAGTTCAAGGTGGACCGCAGTGTCCGCCTTCTTGACAGTTTGTCTTCTGAACGCGTTCGATGGGAGGAGAGCAGCAAGTCTTTCGATTCTCAGATTGACACCATCGTTGGTGACGTCTTGGTTGCAGCTGCGTTCATCGCTTATGCCGGTTACTACGACCAACAGTACAGGAAAGCGCTTACAGAGGACTGGTACGATCACCTCAAGCACTCCGGAATCAGCTTCAAGCCAACAAATCCATTCACTGAGTATCTCTCGACTGCTGATGACCGCCTGAACTGGCAACACAATGGCCTGCCGGTTGACGACCTGTGCACCGAGAACGCCATCATCCTGCAGAGGTTCAACCGCTACCCGCTTATCATCGATCCTTCTGGCAGGACAACAGAGTTCTTGCAGAACGAATGCAAGGACCGCCGTCTCACGGTGACTAGCTTCTTGGATGATTCATTCACCAAGCAACTTGAGAGTTCCCTGCGTTTCGGTAACCCAATCTTGATCCAGGATGCCGAACATCTGGACCCCATTCTGAACCACGTTCTCAACAAGGAGTACCAGAAAACTGGGGGTCGTGTGCTCATTCAACTCGGCAAACAGGAGATCGACTTTTCGCCGTCTTTCCGCCTCTACCTCTCAACACGCGATCCTTCCGCCAACTTCGCTCCTGACATCTGCAGTCGTACCACGTTCGTCAACTTTACTGTCACGCAGAGCAGCTTGCAGACACAGACACTTAATGAAGTCCTCAAGTCCGAGCGACCCGATGTTGATGAGCGCCGATCCAACCTCATCAAGATGCAAGGAGAGTTCGCAGTTCATCTTCGCCAGCTCGAGAAGCGACTGCTTCAAGCTCTCAACGAGTCGCGCGGTAACATTCTGGACGACGACCGCGTCATTGAAACGCTTGAGACGCTCAAGAAGGAGGCCAAGGAAATTTCGGACAAGGTCTCCGAGACTGCTGGCGTTATGACAGAGGTCGAGAACATCACGAAGGAGTACACCGTTGTCGCTCGTTCTTGCTCAGCTATCTTCGCTGTGTTGGAGCAACTGCACCATCTCAACCACTTTTACCAGTTCTCGCTCCAGTACTTTACTCAGATCTTTGAGACTGTGCTGCGCAAGATTCGCAACTCCAACATCACTGGTTATGCTGCCCGTATTGAGCAGATCGTTACTGAGCTCTTCGTTGACGCATACCGCCGCACTTCGCTCTCCTTGCTCCAGAAGGACCGTGTTACGTTTGCTATGCTGCTCGTGCAAGCGGCGCCCTACAAGATGGACAAGGCACACATCGATCAGATCCTTGACCCCGACCTGAAGGGTATCGATGTGTCAACCGAGACAGAGCGCAAAGAGGAGGCCATGGAGCGTGCCAGCAAGATCCCGATGTTTAAGGAAGAGCTGCCAAAGATTGAAGACAGCGCCTGGGATGCTTTCCTCAATGAAGAGATGGGAGAGCGACATGTACCGCAGGCTTGGCCAGAAGATCTTACCAAGTTCGACAAGCTACTACGAGCTCTCGTCTTGGTCAAGTTATTCCGTGTGGATCGCTTCGTACCCGCTGTCGAGCGCTTTGTCACTGAGGTGTTTGGCAAGGGCATCCTAGATGCCAGCGGCGATCTGGGCGATATTGTGAAGCAAGTCAATGCAGTAACCCCGGTGGCTCTCAGCTCCAGCCCTGGGTTCGACGCAAGTTACAAGGTCGACAATCTTGTAGAGAGGGAGCAAGTCAGCTGCACAAACATTGCCATGGGTTCCAACGAAGGTGCCGCATCAGCCGACAAAGCCATCGCTAACGCCGCCACTACAGGCAACTGGGTACTTGTCAAGAACGTCCATCTCGCTCCGCAATGGTTGCAATCGCTTGAGAAGCGTCTTGAAGCTCTCAAGCCCAACCCCGACTTCCGTCTCTTCCTGTCAATGGAGTCCAGCCCCAAGATTCCGGTCAACCTACTTCGCGCTTCTCGCGTCCTATCCTACGAGCAGCCTGCTGGAGTCCGTGCCAACATGAAAGACTCGCTCTCTTCGTTGGCGGAGAAGGCTATCAAGCCGCCGGTGGAGAAGGCACGTGTCTACCTCCTCTTGTCCTTCCTGCACGCAGTCATTCAAGAGCGTCTTCGCTACGCGCCTACTCTGGGATGGAAGGGCTTCTGGGAGTTCAATGACAGTGACTACGAATGCTGCAGTTTCATCATCGACACATGGGTCGACACCGTCGCACAAGGCCGATCTAACATCGCGCCTACCAAGATCCCATGGGAGATGCTCCGTTACCTCATCACAGAAATGTACGGTGGCAAGATCGACGACGCAGAAGACTGGCGCATTCTCGCTTCTCTCGTCGACGCCACTATGACGCCTGCCGCCTTTGAGGACAACTTCAAGATCGTCAAGGATACTGAGCACAGCGAGGGTCTCGAACTACCTACCTCGACTAGCTGGAAGGACTTCATGGGCTGGGTCAATGACCTTCCCGAGCGCGAGCCGCCTACTTACCTCGGCTTGCCTGCAAACGCCGAGAAGCTGTTGCTGGTCGGTCAGGCCAATGCTATGGTTGGCGGTTTGAAGAGGGTGTTGGATATGCTGGATGAGGGCGAGCAGGTCATGGCTGAGGCGGAGACTGAGGTCGAGGGTTAGTGGTCTTACGATTTGTATTAGGCGTACCCTAGATGAGTGTCGCGGTTTTTCTTTGTTTGTAAGTTTATTCATTAGCTGGGGTTATAAGGCGTTTCAATTCGGGTTGCCGTGGTTCAAGGGGCGGTGCGCTAGTTTACTGGTATACCCATAAATCTCATTGTTTGGAGTCTACTTGAATCAAAAGCCAGTGAATCAATGCATGTGACTAGATGTTGCTAAAGGTTAGGTACATGTAGTCTTCGAATGATCGCTGCTTGACATGAGTTGAGAAGTTTGCCAGCCCAGATGACACTTCGTCAGGTCTTTAGATGCAGCTGCTATAGCAACTCGTTGGAGCGCAGGCTCGCACATGACACACCATGGGAGCTCACCGAGATCCCCTTGCGCCCTCCTGTTTCGCCGACCTCTTGCCCAGCTCAAACGCCATGGCCATGCCACCCCGATTCTCCAACTCCGACTTCCTCTCTTGCAACTTCTCACACTCGAAGTCCGTCCTCTCCTCTTCCAGAGCCTCCCTCTTATAGCGTGCTTGCATCTTCTTCGCTTCTAGCGCTTCCTTCCTCTCCACCATCACCTCCGGTACAGCTGCACGAGCCACCTCGGCTTCCTTGTTGCGCTTCTCAACGGCAGCATGGATAGCGGCCATATCAGTAGCTATGTTTGGATCTGCCATGTCATCCTGTATGCCCCGAGCGCATGCTTGCGCAATGGCGGCGTACTCTTCTCCCTCTGCGTCTGCAAGTCCGTTGATGGCGAGGGATGCGATGGCTTCTTCTTCGGCGAGTTCCTCGACATCCTGCTCATGCTTAGCAATGTTGGAAGAGTAAGTAGCGATGTCCTTGAGAATGCCGATGTACTCATCGACGACTGAGACATCTCCAGTCATGGCAGAAGTAGCGATGAGGTCTTTGGTGGCCTTGGTCGTGAGGTTGTCGTGTGTAGCTACGACAATGTTAGAATTGGTGTCAGAGTCAGAATCAGAGCTCGAAGATTCGCTCTCGATGACGATGGGTCTCTGTCTACGGCGACCGGGAGTGAAGACGGTAGAGATGAGGGTAGTAGTACTCTTGCCCTTCTTGCGGCTTGGCAAGCGCACCTTGGATGATGGCGTCGACGGCGGACTCAGCATGACGGCGTCTGCATCTTGCTGTGGATCAGACTCCGGCTCGAACAATGGGCTCTGCTCTCGCTCTCCTGGCATGTCTTTCATTCCTGACTTCTTGTTACTACCCGTCTTATCCAAGGTGGCTCTCTTGCACTTCGCTACCGTCTTGCTCGGAGTCGCAGGCGGTGGAAGACGTGGGTCGACCTGAGAGAACATGCCATACCTGCCGTTAGTTCCCGCGTTAGGTCGATCGGGATTCGCGGCTGCGTAGTGAAGACGGACTCTGTTGGCCTCGGGGTCGATCTTGGCTAGGGGGCTGTTGTCTTCGGATGCCTGGCTTGATGAGTCGCTGATATCCACCACCCGGGCCTTTTGGGCTCGCGTGTGCAGAGGTGGCATGACGGTGTTCAGTGTTAGGGAGCGGATTTAGAGGATAGAAGAAAGAAATATCATCAAGAGAAGGGCATGAGATATTTATACAATTGAGTGGAGAGGCCCAGCGCATCCGTGGTGACTGCGAGTCGAGGTGACCTCGAATTACTATTGTTTCTGCGAAGGCAAGATATCAATACAACCCCAAAGGGTTCACTATACCGCGAGACGAATGGAGTCTGCGTCACCGCGAGAACCGTTTGCTCCACCATCCTTGCCCTCCGCCTCCACCTCTACCCTCCTGAACGCTACCCACCCACCCAACGTCACAACCTCCGTTTTTCCGTAACATTTGCGCCGGACGCGGTGACTTGTAGAGGCTGGATCTAAAGCTTTGTCCAATTTGGGTGTTTCCCGTTTGCGCTTCTTGCTTTTCGCTTCGTTTGCGTCCGGAACAGGTAGGTCCAGTGGATGTAGCGGTACGTCTCGAATAAGTTTACGTGGTCCAGCATCTGGGTCAAGACCCGGGGCTACAGAGCGATTGACCCGCTTGAGGGGTGTGGCTAAATCGGTCTTGGGTACGTTCGCATCATTGGGTAGTAGTAGAGGAAGAGGAGTGCGAAGAGTTTTCAACTTGTGCGACGGTTCTGCGGTGACGGAAGCGGGGTTTTCCTCTTTCTTGCGACATTTTGGAGCCTGCTTGACCGCTTTCCTTGTTTTCTTGATGGTGGGAGTAGAAGTAACACTAGGCGCGGCAACAGGCGGTGTGTTCACATCTCTTATGGGTGTTTGCTCGAGTCGAGGTGCGTCTGCCGTTGAGGAGTTCAGAGTATGTGGTAGTTTTGCAGGTGAAGAAGCCCTACAAGAACCATAATGCGCTTTCGTCTTCTGCGAGGGTTGGGCATGAGGCTTTCCAGCCACTTCATGTCGGTTTTCAGTAGGACACGCTACTGGCCTGACCGCGGAGTCGAGAGGCAGGCAATCTTGAGTGACTCGCGACGCCACATGACCTACTGGAGGGCTCACCGTCTGCTGTGGCGCAGCGATCTTGCTTTGGGAGTGCAATGAAGCGCTCTTTGAAACACATGTAGACTTCAGCAGCCGATGCGGCGGTGTGTTCGGGTTAAGGAGGTGATTCAGGTTCATGGCGACTGATATTCGAGCTGAATATGCAATAGGCGAACGGGTTGTTAAGAAGAACACCCAGCATGGATGGAAGATAATTCGTATTAAGAATGTATGGGGCTGCATTAAAGCGCCTGTAGACTTGAATCCACAAGACTAACCAGAGTTCCTGTTATTCTGAGAGCTCAACCATGGTCCGCAGACGTGACCGCCCATCGCACGCTTCCATTAGTCACTCTCTGTATCGAGCGTCCTCCGCCTCTTGAACATATTCCTGACCTCAGCCCTACGTTCTTGGATCTCGTCTCTCTTCTTCTCCAACTCTGCGCGCTCTCGTTTCCATTTCTCCTGGAAAGCCTCGAAGCGCGCATCCATAACCTCCAATTCGTGATCAACATTGTTGAGGTCTTTCGTCAGAGCATTTTGCTGCATGACCAGCCTAGTGAGGGCGTCGAACTCTTCGTCTTCGGCCGAGCGCTTTGAGTTGCGCGGCGGGGCTGTGGGTGTTGCATCTGCTTCGGGGCTGGCAGACTTGGAAAACGAGGTCTTCGGCAGCGGCTTTTGCGCTGGTGTTGCATTAGGGATTGTACGACGTGCGATTGAAGGGGCCGATTTACGCGCAACGCTCTGCGGGAAGCGAGGCGCTTTAGGCGTGGGTTCATTGGCCAGCGTCGATTGGACGGCTTTCTCTGGGGTGTAGGAGCTGTCGCTACTCTCATCTGCTATACTGCCATCCATTGGTACGGTACCCGATGATTTGAAGGCGTCAGGTCCCATCTGATCGGAGATGTATTCCAGTGCGCAGCGGAGACGCTCGGGGTAGGCCTTGGTTTCGTGTAAGACGCAGTCCGTAGCGATTCCAGCTGCGATAAAATACCACTTGATCATGAGCGTCAATCTGGCTCGATCAGCTTGTTCGCTAGGACCGGTACTTCTAGGGTAAGTTTTGCTGAAAGGATGCAAGATGCGCTGCTTCCCAGTAGCTTCGGCGGACATTGACATGTAGGTACCACGAGCACTTTCCAGGTAAAATCGGATCTCATGGAAACCCCGCTGCACTAGTCGTACCATGTAGGCATAGATTCTGTGCTCTGTCTTCGCATGAGTTCCGACAAACAGTTTCTTCGGCTGGGCCTCTAGGATGTACGTCTGATCCAAGAATTCCATGTCATGAGCATCGGGAATATTCTCCAAGAGTCGCAACGAGCCGCGGTCAGCAAGGTACACCCATAGTTGTTGCAGGTCTGGATTTCCGTCCCAGCTCATACCATGTGGGGTATCGTACGTGACGGTGCTCTCAGGTGCGTGTCCTACGCCATTTCCGTTGGTAGACAGCAAGCCATTCGGGCTTTCCATGTCTTCCGGCTCCGAGCTTTCCTCCACGGTCTCGCCTGTTTCTCTGGGGCGCTTGTAGGTCTTATGGCCCCCATCGGTCTTCCCATAGGCCTTTCTCAGCACAGAAGATAACCGCCGACTAAAGTCTTCGTTCCACGCATCGATTTTGCTTATATGACCTTGCAACAGGAAATAGTAACGTATGATCATGCTAAGCATCCGCTTTTTGGTCTTCGTTCCATCTGTAAAGTGTTTAAACGGGACGATTAGAGGCTTCGTAATGGCCTCATCTCCGGTGATTAGTGGCAGCGTCGAGGTCGCGCTGTCATCGCCAATGGATCTGAGGCAGTAGCGAACCTCCCAACCACCGCCGGATGGCACCAGATAAGTAAGTATGTTGCGGTTGCCTATGCTACCGATCAACAGACTTGGGAGTTCCTCATCATCCAGTGCAGGTTCAATCCAGGTCAGGGAATCCGCTGGTGGCAGTGCATCCATGCAGGAGTCGGCGCCGGCCTTCGACATTAGCTTTCGAATGGTCTGGAGGGCCATGTTCCGGTTTTCGTTGAAGATGGTAAGTCTCGGAGGAGAGCCGTTTGTGTCGCGTCCCAGCGCATCCAATGTCTGGTCAATTGTTTGTCAAGGGTCACGGGCCTTGTTGCGAGCGAGTCGCGCGGTAATGTTGGCGCGTCTGAGCTACTACGCGTCGCCAAACGCTCGACCCCCTACACTCAGAATATTTAAGAAAGCATGCGGAAAAGTCTGGTGCAAGCTCATCTGAACTATAGTAAAATGTATCGTGTGGACGGGTGTTGATGATAAGGCTAGGAAGATGCAGGTCGCAGGAGCGTTGCTTGTTCCGGGATGGATCAGGCGGCCCACTGACGCTAGCGTGAACACGTGCACGTGCACTGGAGTAATCGCGTGCACACCTTCTATGGCATTCTCAAATGACGACTCATCTCATGATTGTGTGTTTACGCATTCGAATTGCCAGCTTATGAGATTCAAAGAACGTGGCTGCTATTTCTTATCAGCTTCCAGTCATCAAACCCTTTTATATGTTAATTAAATCTGAAATCTGTCATCGAACAGCACAAATAGCTGAGAGTGAGCCGTCTCTGGCGACACTACCACTGATTCAAAAAGCTCTCTATCGGCTCGTCAGTTCGATACCCCTTAAGTGCAGTCTTATGGGGACACTTCCACTAGGCTTCATTTTTTGCTCTTTTTGATTCCATGAGGTGCACTTTCACCTTCACTTTTGAGGCCGAATGCGGCAATGATGTCACACTGCAAACGCAACGCACAGTGACCTCGAATTGAGCTTTGCTAGCTCTATCTTTTTGACCTTCAACCTCAGATTCTTACATCCCTTTACCACCTACATATCCTCCACGATGGCTCAAAACATTGAGTCACTACCCCCCGGCGCCTACACCCACGACGAGATCAACGCGCTCGCGGAGAAACACTTCCCCGACGCCTACAACGCGCTCCTCGACGTCGACGACGTGCCCTGGGAGCGGCCTGACTACGACAGAGTCGGCTTCTCCTCCTACTCGCTCTTCCTGGGCAACGTTGTCCTCGACAACATAACGTACAAAGCCTCGGCATATATGACAAGCCAAGGACACATCCAGTTCTTCCGCCGCAACATCAGTCTTTCGCGACGCGATAACGAACGCCTTTCTCTGGTCAGCCTTTGGGCATTTCTGGACGAGAATTCCGAGCGCCCAAGCATGGATAATCTGAAGGCATTGTGCGGTTTCTACTTCGTTGCCGCCGGATATGCCGAGGTGGTGAATGCGAAGAAGGGTTGGTTCCGGGATTTGAAGATGGCTTGCACCAAGGTCGGTCTCGGCCTTGGAGCATTGGTCGATGAGCCTGCGGCTTCTGGTCTGGGTGGGGAGGCGGAGAGGAATGCTGAGAGGGCCCTAAGTTCGCACGATGGCGACGTTGAGGACAACGTGGATTCTGGAGACGAGACGGACGTCACGGTGGGGGCGGAGATGAGGGGCCTGGGTGCTGGAGTCGACGAAGTCAAGGTTGCACACATCCTGCAACGGCTCCTGATCGTAGTCAAGACCAAGCAAGAGAGCTGGGGTGAACGGATTGAGGCGGAACTGAAGTGGGCCTGGCCAAACTACAAGAAGCACTGGAGATAGGAACACAGCCGGGCTAGGATTTGAGAGATAAGAATACCGCTAGAACGCTGAAAATGACGAGACTATGAAGCTACTGCTGTTGCTCCTTGCACCTTTGCTGTTTGGTCCATTTACTGAACTTGTCCTTCTTCCACCCGCTTTTCCAGGTGAGTGTGACCCTTTCTCCATCGATGTTCAACTTTTGTGGCTCCTTGTGTGTTCCAAAGCGTATACTGCTGCTAAGGTGACACTTAGTCGGCGGGTTCTCGTTCCAGTTCTTCTGAGTGACCGAGGAGTAAGACCACTGCACGCAGTATCTGCTGTTGTCGCAGGACTCTTGGCATGCCTCTGGGGACGCTTCTCCGTTCCCAGCGCGATCCGCGTCCTGATGTTCGCCGCCTTGAAAGAGGATATTCCATCGGTTGTTCGAGGATTCGGAGGATAGGTTGTCCCAGTCATTGCGTGTGTAGTTCAAATCTTCCGGGGTCATGAAGCGATACCACAGATCTGCAAAGCGCAGGGTGGGCTGGTCCGAGGGTCGGTCCTTCTCCAATCTGAGCAGATCACTGCCGATATCCGGTGTGATGTGGTGCATCAACAGGATAGGCTCGCACCATATGGCAGGCGAGAAAGGCACCGTGCTTGGGTCGAATCCAGAGATGCTGGGCCAGACTGTGGTAAAGGTGATTTTCACCTCGGCCTGCAGCGCGCTGGCGACGAGGTCGAAAGCTGTTGTATGGTCCGCAATCTGCTCCCGCCAGTTCTGGATAAAGTCTTTGCGCTTCTTGAACAGCTCCAGCATCACTCCTCGCGAGAGGATGAACGACGTGCCTCCAGCGGCGAAGGGATCGGGGACGTGCGCCGTCGCCGGGGCAGGTGGGTTGCCAAAGAAGTGCTTCGCGTCTGGGTCGTGTTGACTCAGCCAATCGAGTAGGTTCGGTCTGTTGACGTACGTCTCATCGCCGGCGAAGACATACCAGCTGCGGTCTGGCCGGTACTCCCACGCAGATGCCATTGTCTCGAGTATCTTGTACTTGTCCAGGATCTCCATCTCCCTCTTCTCTTCTTCCGGGTCCTCCTTCTTCAACTTGGTCAGGGGTATGCTCCTCCGCGCATAGTCGACCTGAGCGCGGTATCGCTCCAGCTGCTTCGTCTTCTGTATGAAGTCGGATTTGTAGCGCCAGATGACGTCGAAGACGGGCCATCTTCCAATCTGCGTTTGTAGGTCCGAGAACAGCAGGAGCGTGCCGTGGTCTTGTTCGTTGGTGTTGAGGATGAGGGGCGTGACTTTGTTGTAGACGTCGTTTGCGGTCGTGGTGACGGCGACGACAAGCTGGTCATGGTCGACTTGGTGCGGACCGAGGTTGGACTCTTGCTGCGGGCGCTTGCTCGGCGGGAGCTCTTCGTCGTCGTAGGTGCGCGGCCAGCCCTTGACCCAGAAGAAGGCATATATGAGGATGACGCTGAAGACGAGGCGGGCCGGGCGCGGCATGTGCTTCCGGTAAGACGACATGGTCGCTAGCGTTTGCTGTGTGGCATCTGAGGGATTAGTAGCTAAAGAAGAGTACAGAGATCAAGATCGAAGATGCCCAAAACGTGTTTCACCCCATCGCAATGGCCCGATCGATGTTTGAGAAAAAGCGCGTTGCGAACGTCCGCCCGCATTCAGGGGAGCCTAGGCCCGACCGAGACGCGTGGAACAGGCCTGGTGTGGCGCGGCCTCGTATTGCTGAGGGACACGCGTCGCGGGGGCATCAGTGTAGCATGGTTCTGAGATCCGTATCTACACCGTCGACAAAGCCTTTCGCATTCCAAGACGCGACCTACATAGTACAACGGCGAGAGACGCCGCATGAGGCGTTCCTGCCCTCTTGGCGATGCATCGGAGGAACAGCCGCTCATCTCCGACGATCAGCAGATCGTCGCTACGACTCCCTGCGTCTACGATCCCTCTCTTCCTCGTCACATTCCATTAGCTCCGGTACTCCATATACCTTCAGCAGCGCAAACTGGCGATGATTCCGTGGTCGCGATGCTTGTACGGTACGCTCACAGCAGCTGGCCTGTATATCCGATAACACCGAAGCGAGCACGTTCCCCTCACCTGGACCCGTTCGGTGGTCTCTATACAGTAAACGGTGGAAGATCTTGTGGAGTCTTGATGGAAACAAAGAGCCAAGCAGTGATGACTTTGAGATGCGATGCAACAGGTGGTGTTCATGTAGAAGGAATCGATGCTGATCCCATAGTCACCCACCTCGTGAAACCAAGCCATCGAGCGAACTACGTCCGCCTGGGTCAACACGGTTTATTAGGAGGGGCGATTGCCATCGTATTCAGAAAGCCACCCAATGCTGCGACCGCTCGACCAGTTGCTGTTTTCTGCGGCAGACACACAGTATCTGCTTGCTGTGGAAGTGTCAGTGTTTACTCGACATATCCACTTCAGCGTAGCAAACCGCGAGCTGATCATCGATGCGGTTAAAAGCCCTCCAACCAGGCCTTTTCTTGTACGCCGTATAGCTGTACTAAAAGGGGATTGAGTACTGAGTCATTTTTATCGACCGCTCTGCCGAATTCACTACCTTGCACCGGAGTCCGCGGCAGGTTAGAGGACTAGGACTATACCTAATGATCTCGTCAGCTTGTGTACACTCAAGGCACCCTCCTAGCACTTGTACATTCATTAACGCAATTATCAGCTGCCTTCGATCCAACATGGTGTGACACAGCGATTAGTTGTGTGCATTGCCCAGCTGCAGATTGGGACATCGCGCCACGAAAATTATCAAAGTTGCTAATATCACGCTTTCTTCTATATATTAGATTCTCAAAACTATTCAACTATATTCTCAACCCGAGCCATCTATCTGTCTTTCACGTCCAGTCAAGATGTCAAATCAGAACCCGGAGTCGACAAATTCCCGAGAGGAGCGCCCGAAATGGCAGGAGGAAGGTTTCAATTCTCATCAAGAATGGCAAGACTGGCTAAATGAGTCTGAAGCCACTGATAATGCATACGACGCCCAGGCGGAGGCGCCGCCGCCTGATGACAGGGAAGAGGATGAGGGCTTCGACGAGGAGTTCGTTAGCGAGCAAGACTCAGAAGACGAAGACGAAGACGACGACGACGAATCGGAAAGCGGTGAGCCTGGAAAACACGTCGATTCCGAAGATGACAGCAGCTCCGACGAACATCTCGAGGCTGCAGACAACGGAGAGCCTGGAGTAGACGACACTTCAAATGTCGACGAGACTGTGCTCACTTCTATTTACGGCTTCGGTATGTAATGATACATCTTTGCCAGACACAATCTAACACAGTAGGTAGCGCACGACAAGAACAAAGAATATGCTCTCGTCGAGCACTCAGCTCGCGGAGCTCTCAACGCTATCACCATAGCTCTTCAAGACATCATAAACAGGAGCCAGGCCCGACAAGGTGACCCACAGAGTCTTGCGAAAGAGATCAAGAGCGCCTTTGCCACGACTTTACCTACGTATCTAAGCGTCCAGGCAGTGCTCCAAGGTGGACAACAAGTCAGTCTTTCTCAAGTGAGTATAAGAGCAGCCAGCTGACTGAATTAAAGGGTATTGGGCGGCCGCCTCCCCTCAGCGACATTTCTTCGCAGCGTAATCAACCATTTATTGGAACCTCTGCCGCCGTGTCTGTTCCACCCTCTCCGCCTCCGCCACCACCGTCAACGACTAGCGGTCTCGTACCCTCCGCTCCGCAAAGAAATGTACGTTGCATCTCTTAATGATATCTGCACGGCGCTAACATTGTGTAGGGAATCAGCGGTTCCCAGGGAGACGAAGACGTCAACAGCGACAATGAGGAGGAAGTTCAAGAGATAACGACACCACATCCCGACTAGAGCAATTCAGGCCTAAATGAATAGGCAAGTGATTCATGTAAGAGGTGTGGCGATGGAAGCGCCAGCTGTAGTCTGCTGAAGATAGGTGTGCGTGATGAAGAAGTTCACATTGGGTCAAGCTTGAACTTCCAAGATAGATCGAGGATGCGATATGAATACACAGTGTACGGGTGACGCAGTTCCTTTGTAAGTGCATGGCTGTGAAAAGGGTCTGCGTATAGGCCTGATTTGGACGAGCACCTTTCACCGGCAGAGGAATTTTCGTCACCGTTCACTTGACTTTCTCATACATCGGTACTCTCGATCTCAGCACTCTGCATCCTCTTCAACCTCAACGCCGCCAGAACCTCTTCAACATCACCATGGCGACTACTGATGCTGACATCAATGTCACAGGTCTAGGTCAAGGCCCCGTGGCACTTCCAATCCGAGCGCCTTCGCTCGCCATTTCGTCTTCCGTTTCGCCTACTCAGGCACATCCCATCAAACACTACGGCAGCGATGCGAAAATCTTCAAGGCCGCCGACCTCCGCTTCGATGACGGCTCGTTCAACAAGCCTGGCACCAAGGCTTACTACAAGAGCTTTGGGTTCCGCGAGAAGACAAAGGGAACCAGCGATCAAGAGATGAACGGAATGAGGACCGAGAAGCAGTCACTCGTCATGGTATTCAGCAGAAACGCTGTCAGGCGATCTGCTGTGACTGGATCTGTCGCAAACAGAGCACGAAAGCTGAGCAAGAGGCAGTAAGTGCGCTCTTTGGTCCAAATGAGTGAGTCTAATGCCTCCATAGAAAGTTCATGCGCAAGGTCAACAACGACGAGAAGTTTTTCGAGTGGGATTGAGTACCTGCCAAAGAGTTGGAGTACGGGCAGGAGACAACAAGCCCGACTTCCGCTCACGGAACGAGGCCTGACGTCATGAAAGGCCTGGGAAGTTGTTATTGAGCAGCGAGTGTCGGTGTCTGTTCTTACCCAAAATCTGCGGCGACCGCTCAACTCGAGAAAGCTTCACTCGTCTCATGATCATATCCTAGTACCGCGCGTTTGTTTCGCAGTCACGTTCATCAAGGATCGCACGCGATCACAATCTAATACCACTCAGAATCCGGATCCTATAAAGTCTTGTTGCCTAGCTGTGTCTCAAAACCTGCACCTATTACCGCCCTCCTCTTCTTCTTCTACTTCTAACATTGCTTTGCTATACTACATCCATAATGCCTAAAGCATTCAGCGTCCCACATGATTCAGGTGGTCGCCGTACTCCACCGAATCCTCCGCCCACCAGGAAAACCGGTCTTTCTATGGTCGACTTCCAATATCAAGGTCCTCTAGAAGACGACCCTGTTACCACCATAGCCAGCGGTCTCCGCGAGAAACGACTGCGATTCACCAAAAAGATACCAAACGATCACGACAGCGATGTCTGTTCACCAAGGGACCGCCGCGCCGCCCTTGCCGTATTCGACGAAGCCATCGAAAAGATTCGCGAAGAGAACCGCCTCGAGATAACTACAGAGGCCGATTACAAGATCAGGGTGATCTTGGGAATCACCAAAGCGCAACCCTCTGCTTCTGTGTTCCAGAATAAGCAACAACTCGCGCCTATAGATCCCCAGTATGCAGAGCCACGTGTCGAATGGCACGACGATCCGTACAGCTATCATTCGACTTGGAGGTTGCAGCATTGGCGCGAAGACGGTTGGCCTGACTCATTTCCTGAGAAGGCCATTCAGAAAGAACGAACCATGCAAGGGGAGCCCAGATCTTGGAAAGATCAAGACTGGGCTGAGCCTGGAGGACTGAGTTGAGAGTCGGTGATTGTGGTAGGAATAATCATGGTTGAGAGTCCAAGCAGCATAGGTTGTCATCCAGAACCTCCACTTGCTGAGGAATTATCGAGCGAGGCAGGCCTCATGCAGTGATATAGATAAAAGCCCAACATCATGTTGAGATGCACGCGCAGAATCTCTTGTGTCCTGATGTCGACAATGCCTTCAGTTTCTAGTACGCCTTGATGTGACTGAGCTTATACTGGGCAGCTATCGTAGCCCCTCAAGCTGTTTCACACCTATTGTTACCCTAGGGATTAGCACTGTGCGATTACAGAGTAGGTCTGCATGCGAATGAATCCCCATACCATTCGTCCTGAAAAGTCTAGAGTCCATATTCGAAACTCTTGTTCCTCAGTAACAACGCACAACTACCAACCAAACATGCCCCGTCTAAAGAGAGATACTTCACTATGGCGAGCTCGAATGGAAAGGGCAAAGAATCAGACTGGGCCAGGCCATCCGGCTTCGATGTCGGTGTTACAGGTGGCTACTGCTGAAGAAACATTCGCTTCACCCGACCAACAAGACGCCAATTCTTCAAATACGTCCACGACTCATATTTCACAAAGTGTAACAAGATCCAAGAGCCGCCATGGTGGAGCTTCTCCATGGGTCCGCCGTACCACACGCAATGTGAACGAGGTCTCTACTGGCCAAGTCCCAACGGAAGAGGAGCAATTGCAAGCTGCTCTGGCTGAGTCTTTGGCACAAGAACCCGCAAGACCCGCCCAGAAAGACCCTGTAAGAGAGACACGGAAGAGGAAGTCAAAGTCCAGGGGTCCTCTGACTTCGCAGAAAGCGCAGGAATCATTACGTCGACTCCCTGGACAGCACACTGCTCTGAAGCTACCAAAATTAAGAATTACAAACGACAGGATAGTGGTTGTCAGGGAAGTAGACAGCCTAGCACAATCGCTGGATACTGAAAAACCATTGGATGCTTTCGATCTTGAGAAAGCCAAAGAACTCGAACACCAACAGCAACTCCTCTTTCTGTCCAATCTCGAACGACAGGAAGGCTACATACGCCCTGCTCAAGGTGAGCATGAAAGCGCGATGCGAAGCACACTTGCTCACGATGTGGATAACGATGACTTCACTGCTGCATTCATCCTAAGGGCGATGGCAAACAGCGACATCACTGCTGATCCCGACAGCATGGGTTTCGTCCAGAGACTCATGAACCCATCCGCTCCTGGAACGACTTTGGAGTCGACCAACTCCGCTAAGAATGAAAAACCGCGCGAGGTTATACCCCTTCGTCGTTCGACACGAAAGAAACCTGCCGCTGATCCCGAGGCCGGAAACTCGTCTTCAAAGGCCATCGAAACCGAGAAACCAGCACCTGAGCCCTTAAGGCTAGACGAGGGTGAAGGTTTCATGCCATCCGCGGCAACGACTTCAAGTTCAAGTACGACAGTGCTTCCGGACGTCGAGCGGAAGAACTTGACACACTCCTGAAGCCTCCGAGCCGTCCTAAGGCCTTTCCAGCTGATCTTGCTGGTCAGAAGACTTTTCTCAATAAGAGCTTAAGAGTTCTGGGTACCAAACCGAAGGGCAACGCCGCAGATCAGATGGTTAAAGAAATGGAAATCGAACATGCGCAAACACAGCAAGACGTAGAGATGGCTATGGAGGAGGAGGACAGGTGGAATGAGCTTTGGGGCGTTGAGGAATGGGAGGAGTAGACCTTTCTGGGCGATGAGAAGACGCTCAAGTACTGCTAAAGAAATTGTATTTGTACACACCTTTGTGAATCTAGTAAGCAGTTACTCAATTCACGCACCACAAATTAGGCAGCCATTTACTACAGATAATTGTCCATTCATTTCTCATTCACGCTGCTTTTAGTGGTCTGCCTGGCCGTAGGAGGAATATAGTTCGCCGAAAGCCGAGACAAACTTTGTGATATAGTTTCTTGGATATCCATATCCTCTCTGCCACTTTGACTCGGCTAGCCCTCAATGAATCATAAAACCCCTTCATCCGATCCGAAAAGTTGGGCGAAATGTCGGATAATACACTAAATACGCCCACTTTCACGATGTCGAATCGCTCTCAGCAAGATACTGCTGCTACTACCAGGCCTCATCAAAGTTTAAGTCGCATGGGATCGGTTAGGAACCGCATTGCCAGGCCTGATCGAATAGGCGAACGTCATACCGAGCAAGAGCAAGAGGCAGCGAAGGCCATGCTAGTACTGAGAGGACTGGTTTTGTTCTCTGCAGAGGCTCAGGCAGCAGACATACTCCTCAATATGAGCAGGTCTGTCATGATCTACGACAGCGATGGTGAGCGGACGATCGCTGCAGAACCAACCCCGGATACGACACCAACGCGCCACGCTATATCACCTGCGAGTATCGCTATGACGTCAGTGCCCGGCAGAAATGTCAGTACGACAAATATTCCTGCCACTGAGGATGTAAATATTCCAGCTGTGCGGAAGATTACACTGGAAGAGTACATTAGGTTGAGAAAAGCGAAGAAAAATAGGGAAGCACATGAGAATGCTTGACCTTGGACAGTGAGGTAAGTCCGGGTATGATATGGGACTAGGTAGTGTACTTATCATCTACACAGCTTGAGTATCCTGATCCTGAGGCCGACATGTAGTCGCCAATGCCATCCACCAGCGTACTATGCACCACCCTTGGCCAGAGCGGCTGCCTTACGCTCGCGCTTCTCAAGACGGATGCGGGCCGTGCGATGAGTCTTCGTCTCCCCGGCGATTATCCTCCTTCCCCGAGGTGTTGCGGAAAGAGGCGCGGAGGGTGCAGGGGAGTTGGCGACGTAGTCGCTCGCCCACTTCGACAGCATCGGACCTGGCATGGTCGGAGGCCAGCCCTTGACGAGAATGGGGCTGCCGTTCGCCAATGCCCTGACCCTCTTGTCCATCATCTTGTCGAGGCGGTCGTACAGGCGAGATGCTGCGACCCCGGCCCACCACCATCCAACTGTGTTGCCTAGCAGCTCTTGCTGCAGGTCCCAGATGTCCTGGTTTAGACCGCGAAACAGCAGGTCGAAGTCGATTCGGTCCTGCTCGGTGGACTCGCCTGGAGCTTGATGTTAGTATGCGAACAAGGCGGATGTGGACTAGTCAGGGAATCCGCACCGTACAACACCGCTGGGTGGTCTCGATCTCGTTCTCAGGCAGAAACGTCTGCCCTCCGCAGAGGCGGAACTGCTCGTGGAGTTGGGATGCTAGATCCATCATGATGATATTGGATCGGCGAGACGAGTATCTGGAGGAGAGTATCGGATCAGTATGTGAGCCACGAAAATTTCAAGAAATTTTGAGGCAGGCGTGAGGTTGTTGTGGAGGTCGCTTGACGGCGCGCAATTTGCAAAGGTAGAGTTTGCTCTTTTCACCTGAGCACGTCCCCATGGTAACCGCCAGTTTCGTTTGCATTTTGTGCTGTTCGGTCTGAGCTCGTCGCTACGTCCCATCAGTACCTAGTTTTCTATCAGTACCATGCAGAATACAATGTCATGCTGCTATTTGATTGCGATGTTTAGGCGTACTAGGTACTGAGCTTTGCTGAGCTCATTGTTCTTATATGTGCGGCTTTGACAACCTTGGAAGTCTTGCAAGCAGCAAACGTGTTGACCTTACCCTCATACATAACCTTGTTTCTACTTAGCTGAACGACACCCATAACCTTCTTGAAAAGGTGTAGGACCTACACAAGCTTGTACAGATGGCTACCTTCACCCAACCTACTCCACCGATTGACTTTAGACGAGACATAGAAGCTTTCAATCTTTATCACGAAAAATGCACTACCAAACCGATCAAAGAGACCGTTGCACACCTCCTCTACGCTCTGGAGAATACAGAACCCATCGTAGACCGCACCGATGCAGTTTACACGAGATTCCGTAATGCCATGGTGGACTGGAAAATCAGGATCGATAAAAAACACGACGCAGATGCGAATCGATGGTACTTTCACAGAATGAGGATAGACTTCAGGGCAGTAGAAAGCCTGCTCTATGATGTTCCCACCGATTTGGATAGTGCCTTTGAAGGCGATACGGACGACGAGAATTCCGAAGATGGAGACCATGACGATGAGAGCACTGACGACGATGAATCTGAAGTGGACCAAGAAGAAGATACGCTCGCTGTAGCCCAGTCCGAGACTTCGACTGATACCCACGCAGATATTTCGACGCGTATCGACGAAGCGAGGGACGACACTGTAGCTGAGAAAACCCCAGACACGCCTTCACCCAAGACCAAAACGAAGCCGTCTGCGCGAACTACGCGTTTCAGCCGACGGCTCAAAGATCTCGACGCTCTCAGAGCACAAGAAGAAGAGAACATGCATTACAGTCCAAGGCGAAGAAAAGGCAAAGAGTTCAAAGGAGGACCTATCGACCCAGAGAAAGCGCATCTAGGCATCGGCGAAAGAGAACTAGCTGATCATGACGGAAACGTTGTACTCGCCGAACTGGAGAGTAATGTACGAGGCGCGGCTTAAGAGAAAACGAAAGAAGATGAAATCGACATATGAATTAGTAGGGTGAAGAGGATGGTGGGGGTGATGTCGTGCCCAGAGGAAACGATATGAGCGAACAAAGGACAACGGAAAAGGTGGGAAGGAAGGATGACGAAGTTCAAGGTTGAGATGGCGGGTGGCGTGTGCTTGGTGAGCTTAGTGTGGCGCGGCGAATCGAAATGTCGTGGCGTCAAGACCTGAGTTCCGCCACCAAACTTGGAATGCTTGTTGCAACCATCGCGCTGCATACATCAGCTTTCATCATCCTGGTTCTTTTATGACGATTAGATAGACGCGCATCTTCTGAGAATCGTAATCAAGAAAAAGTAATGAACATCAAGCAATCGACATAATCATGGGCATGAAAGTTATTTAGATTTACCGAAGCAACAATAGCTTCGAGCGCGTACCCTATGTAGCGAAGGGCGATGGACAGCGACAGAATATTAACAAGACACAGCCTAAGCAGTGCGCTCGATGGTAGTAGTCTCCATCTTGCCGTGCTCGGTAACCGTTCCGTCGTCGTGGCCGTGGTTGACGGTCTTCTCGACAGCCCTGACAGCCTCGTCGGCGAACTCCTTGTCTTCGAACACTGGGTACAAGTTAGTAATAGCTCAATATAAGTCGTCTTCATCATGTACTTACAGAAAGCAAGCTCCTCGAGCGTGCGGTTGTACGTCTCAGGGTACATAAGGTAGACGAAGCAGAACTCGAATGTAATCCATCCGCAGTAAATGGCAAAGTACTTCCACTGAATCGCGTCAAGAGCGATAGGGTTGACGTAGACGGAGAAGAACCCGGCGAGCTTGCCGAACATTTGCTCGACACCGATACCCATGGTACGCTGGGCGTAGGGGAAGAGTTCGACGAGGTAGGTGTATGTGAGCGAGTTGTTACCGATGTTGTAGCAGGGCGAGTATGCGAAGAAGAAGACGAGCGAGGCGATTTGCGCAGCCTGGTTCTTGGTGCCATTGGCATCGGCGACTTGGAGACGCTGGAAAGCGATGGTCATGGCCATGAAGACCATGGTCATGGATCCAGCGGAAAGCATGAACATCCAGCGACGGCGGAATCGAGTGACGACGAGGGCGATAGTGACACCGTTGATCAAACTCCAGCATTGGTTGGCGATGTTGATGCGCGTCTTGGCGTACTTGGTGGTGTATCCCATCATCTTGAATAGAAGATTTTGGTAGTACGAGATTAGAGTGTTTCCGCTCATCTGGGTGAAGAGACCGAGGAAGCAAGAGATGAAGACACGGCGTCGCATACCAGGTGTGCGAACCATGTCCATCCATGAGCGGCTTGAGTTCTCCATCTCGAGTTTGATTGTGGAACGGATCTGGGCCATCTCGGCTTGTACGAGGATGGAGTTGGCGTCGCCTTCGGCATGATATTTGGTCAAAACGGCGAAAGCTTCATCGTCGCGATCACGGCTGACAAGCCAACGTGGGCTCTCGGGTAGCAGGCTAGTAAAGTCAGTGCGGAACTCTAAAGACGTTCGAAGAAACGTACAAAACAGTGCAAATCTGGAGGATGGACGGGCAGATCTGCAGCAGAGACGGTGCTCGCCAGCCCCAGTTTCCAACCATCTCCGTTGTCTTGATTGAGATGGCAGCGGCAAGGATGGATCCGATGAAGTAAGAGGCGTTGAAGAGCGAGGTCATGAACGGGCGTTCCTTGGGGTAAGCCAACTCTCCGATCAGGGAAGAACCGGAGACAATGGCGAAGAGGATACCGAAACCAAGCAGCATACGTGCGATGATGTACATGCCAACTGATAATGCGTTAGATACGCCGCTACTGTGTATGTGGATGGGTTGTGTACGTACTGTGCTGAGCAAAACCTTGCAACAAAGCGCCAATGACCATAATGACGGAACCAACGAAGATAGACATGCGTCTACCATACTTTTGGCTCAACCAGGGTGCGACCGGAACTGCAAGAATGGAACCAAGCTGGTAGCATGAGGACATGAAACCGATGATTTTGGGTTCGATGCTGGCTTCGCCATCTGAGTCCTTGTAGCCTTCTCCAAAATCTGAGACTGTCAGCCTGGTGAATCTAAAGCTGCAACAATTTTGACTTACATGTGTTGAATGGAACTGAAAATTGAAGTGTGCCGATGAGCTGAGAGTCGAAACCAGAGGTAATCTCAACACCCATGCAGCAGCAGAACAGCCAGATGTACATGATGCGTAGATTCGGTTTCTTCCACCATCGCACCTTGTCCTGCTCCACCATGCGGGTGATGATGGGGTCGGAAGTACCATCCTGAGCTTTGAGGAGACCCATGATGCCGGTGTTGGATGCGCTGGAGGCTGCTGGTGCTCGAGCAGATTGGGGTATACCCTTTATAATACGGCGTGGCCCAAGGGCGGTCCACTACCCCGGCTCTTTACCCCAGATGCTCCGTAGCCTACCTAGGCTAAGGCGGAGAACACGACCGTAATACCGAACCTGCATCTTATATTGGGTAAGCGTCGCGGCGCGTTAGCTGCATACCTTGGCAGCCGGTTAAATTGGGCTTGTTCCTCCAATTATCGGGTGTTAATCATCCCGAACAAAGCTCAGAAGAGCCCGAACGAACGCCTTGCTGCTTGCAAGTGCATTTTTCGAGCCTGTGTTTAACCTGTTGGCTGGTACGTGACCTGCTCTCGTGTTGCACTTCGAAGTTGCAGTGGCACTTTTAGCGAGGCAGCGCCTAGTCGTGCTCTTCCGACGGCACGGACAGGAAATGTTGACCCGACACCGTGGATCTTGTCCTATGGCGAATTAACGGTCAATTTCGCAAGGCACGAACGGATTTGGGGTCCAACTTCAGATTGATGGGACATGAGATGATATGCTTATCATACCACGCCCTGGAGAGGACAGTAGTATTGTCAGGACTTGAAGATCATGTCCAGTCCCATGATACAAGCATCCAGCATCGGCTCATGATGATCCAGAGGCGCACGCACTAAGCGCGAATATCAGGAGGATTAAGCGGTAGCGATGGCTTACACGCGGCAAATGCTCGTGTTGTAGCTACCGAAGCGACAGGCGGGGGTTGATGCACGAATATCACGCCTTGGGACAGCGTCGGGGCGTCAGCATGGCAATCAAATTCGTATAGAGTCCACAACCAACTAGACCAAGCCCGTAGCTTGATGTTCTTGAAGCAATATGTCCGTGTGTGGGTACTTCATCGACGGGAAGCGCGTGGGATTGCTCCGAACATGCACGCGCCAGACAGATAGAGTGAGTGGGCCAGCCACTGAAGCCTTTCCGGGGTAAGTTAGCCCCAATGCATGGTAATCCTGATTCTTGGTGGGTGCTTCATCAATGTCCAACAACACTCAGGAAGAGTCGGATGTATTGCATCCCAGCCAAGCGGTACTTAAGGAAAGAGATCTCCACAAGGCATACCGTCTTGTTGCTGAGCATGAACGGCATCCACGGTACGCGCTTCAACTGTCGGTCAGACTTCCCGGAAACTTGGCGGGTGGTAGTCGTAAATGCAGCGTTGGCCAAGGGCCTACGACCAGCGCTGGCTTCGTTGCTGATTCGCATGGATGCGTGTAAGAGGGAATGATGACTCGTGTTGGGTAGCGCACCGCTTGTTTGCAGCCGACGCATCTTTGGGAGAGGCAACGAAAAAGAAAAACGGCTTAAGTGAGGTGAGATGGGAATATCTGGAGTTGACAAAGTTCTGCAGTAAGTCGATTGCTCCAAGCAGGGTCGATGATCTCCAGATTGGTGGCCGCCGGCATCGCTAAAGGTGGGGCGCTGTCTGTCGCGGTTGCCGCAGGCCCGTCGTGGCAATCATCACCAAAGCTGTAGCTGACATCGGCAACTAGTAGATCAAAGTCAAGAATCTCATTATTCGGGACGCTTTAAGAGCATGTATCATGAACGTGGTATCGGGGGTTCGGACGCACCATACATAACACGAACGCCACGCTGGACATTACATTCTAACCGCAGGTACAAGAGTAGGATTAGGAAAGATATGGGTATCATGAGGTATATGTAAGACCAGTAGCTGGTCTGGGTCGCATTGCGCGACAGAAAGTCGTCGTTTAGACGCCGGCCATGTTCGGCGCAGGAGCGGTGTCATTCCTGGGGGAGCTGCGGATGTGCAGCGCCGCAAGCACGGTCGAAGCAACAAAGGCAACCCTGTGGTAGGTCAGTACACAGTCGCGGGTGAGAATTTAGGTTCCATACCAGTTGAAAGCAGAGAAGACGATCGCAGCGACTCCGCAGCTGTAGAAGGTGCCTTGGCGGCCAGCCCACCAGTTGTTACCCCATCGAGTGGCCACTGCAACGAAGGCTGCGAACCAGAAGATCATAGTAATGAACTCGACTCCGCCAATCGCAAACTTGTGGGCTGCAGCGGGGAAACGAGCTGGTGCGAGAACGAGATATGCGACAGCTAGGAGGGTCCAGATGGACGTGAAGAGCATGAAGGCGACGCTCGCCGGCACCCAGGTGACGTAGGCATCGACAACTGCGGACATGTTAGTGACGCCACGACACCGAGCGGTCTGTGGGCAACATACTGTAGGCTGTAAGACCCAGCACGATGATGCTGAAGACGACTTGTACGCCGCGCAGGCCTAGGACAAGAGCGGGTGCGACCATTTTGATAGAAGAGAGGCGCTACGGCTACGCGATGGATGGCTGCAGGGGCTACGGAGCGGGTAGGCAGATTGTGGCTGCAGATATCTTCGCTACCGAAAGTCGATGGTATTTGTTGTTTGCAGCAGTTGGGTGTAGAGAGTCTCGATGAGGCCTGCAATACAGCGGCGGCCTGGTTCTTTATGCCTCCGCACAGGCTGGCAGGCGATGATGCTGCCACGACCTTGTCCCTTCTTGATTTCCCTGAAACCGACGTCACTCCCAGTGGCGCATGATCAGGGAGCCACATGTCGCGTCGATGATTGGTCAATCGTCGCGATCCCAGCTCTTAGTGCCGCTGGCGATGCGACGTGTTGCACAACCTTCTCGCATCTTCTCCTCTTTGTCCTGGCCTTGTCCATCGCACGACAATCAATTTTCGCGTTCCTTCATCTCAAAATAATCTGTAACTTGACAGCTTTATTTTCGGACGCGTCCAGCGTCTTGTTTCAACGCAAAGGTCCCACGCTCGGTGTTTGGGCAGCGTCGTCAAACATATGTGGCGGTGCACGGTTTCATTTTCCACAGCCTGCGACGTGACGCGGCCAAGGGTATGCCGGCAACACGGCAGATGCAGCGCCGCATCACATATACACCGCCTACTAGACTGCTGGCTTTGTAGTTCTTCAACATTCGCAGTGCGCTGCGAGATGCACAAAGTTGCATTCCATGGCCCAACTCTGACCAATTCATCGAATCGATGCAACGAACAGGGTCAATATCCGCCAACGAACGTACAGCGGCATATCATCACGGGGTCTTGAGGCTATGTGAAGCGTCAGCCTCTATCGAATGATGTTCTCTGACCTATAGTGGTAGAAGGATACCTAGCGCAACCAACATCGCCGCGGCCCGTGATGCAGCAGGTCGTCTAGCTCTAGCAACAGTTTCGCTGTTGCATTGTTGCTACAGCATACCGCGAGGATATGGTCGAAGAGTTCTTGTGCTGTGCACTAGTACCCTGTGACGAGTACAATGAGGCCATATGGTGTTCGCCTGAATTTACAATGCGAGACCTGTTGGACTAAAGTGCACATCCCTGGATTGACCTAGACTTTCCCACGAAAAGCCTCCGCGTGGGTACGAGCAGTGTGGAGATGTCTGACCAAGACTCAGCACCGCCGACTTCGCCTTTCATCCCCAATGACCCCGAGGAGAAAATCGCCATGGCTTCGCGTCACGATAGCATGCTGTCTGAGCAAGGCCTGGAAGTCGCAGAATTGAGAGTGAGAGTCGCCGAACTTGAAAGTTCTTCGGCTCTGGCTACGAACATGCATAACGAAGTTTCTCACGAACTCCAATTCTACAAGAACGAAGTAGCAAAGAAGAAAGATGAGATCTATGACATGACCAGTGCGTCCAATAAACAGTCCAGAGACTTCAAAGCCCTCGAGACCAAAATGGCCAAATTGAGAGAAGACAGTGAGCAGAAGGTTCGCAAGATGGAAAAAGAACTTGACCATGAGAAAGCGACGAAGAAGCGGACCAAGGAGGACCAAGAAGCAACAAACGTGATTGCCCAGCTACAGACTGAACTCGGTGCCAAGGATGTCAGGATTGATCAGCTGGAAGCTCGATTAACCAAAATCAAGGCTCCTCGTGATAACGCGTACCGCGGGGTCCAAAGTTCGCTAACAAACCGCCGCTCCACAGGTATGCATCACGAGCACGGCTGCGAGGAGTACCAAAAACTTATATCCCAGCAGCTTGTGGATGCTCAAGAGTTACTGGCCGCCGCCGAAGCAGAAGCAGAAGGACTTCGCCATCTTGCGAAGGCTAACGCAGATCTGGCTGATGGCCATGCTACGGATCTTGAATGTATCTGGGAACTAAGAGATGAGAATGAGCGATACCGCGTGGAAGTTAGGCATCTCAAAGAAGTCATTGGTAGCATACGCGCCGAACAGCATTTTGCTTCTAGCGACTTTCACGACATCGATCTCGACGACCAAGCCACCCAAACTCTTTCCCTTTCACCATTGACGAACTGCTGTCTGACTCCCGTCGCTCCTCAAGACAACAAAGTCGAGATTGCTGGGAATGTGCAGCAGCTACGTGCCCTGGAGCTGGAGACTGAACGCTTGACCTCAGAAAATCACAGCCTTTCGCCTGAGTGCACCGAGCTGGAGTCAAAGCTGGTGTCTGTCATATCCACGCTGAAGGCTCTGGATGAGGAACAACAGACAAGGAACAGATGTACACTGACTGTCTCCGCACAGAACGTTTCGACTTCTCCACGCACGCCAATTGTCGAAAACAAATCAGTAATCAACCCTGACATGCTAGCTGGACTGGAAGACCTCGGTAAGTCCATCATCAATCTCAGCGACCCACCGTTCAAGACAACCGCTCTTGCTGCTAACACGCGAGCTACACCCGACCTACCCAATGTGGCCTTAACGATTAATATCAAACCAAGCAACAAGCGCAACTACTCTTTGTTCCAGCGCGTCAAAAGCGCCATCTCTTCGACTTCCAAGATCGACATTAAAGGGCCTAAAGAGGTCGCCAATCAATTCATGGCCCTCATGGAGGATGTCGAAAAAGACCATGCGGAGAAGACTAACCGTGTCATCGAGCTGGAAAATACTGCTCAGCAACTACGTGCCAATGCCGCGATTCTGGAAGCACAACTTCGTAGCAAAGGCAAGTGCTCAGATCCCATGCATCGCACGTTGGCCGACGAGCTTGCGGCCAAAAACGAGCAGTTTGCTATGCAGGAACAGCTTTTGGCTACGTTTCGGCACAGCAATGTAGCATAGGCTTTACCTTCTTCACCAAGTCGCCTTGATTGAATAGGTAGATCATTATTTAGCTTTTATCTCGTGAACACGTCGCCCTGAAGTGATTAATATATGAGTAATGAGATGCTGAACTCTTCGATCCGCCGCCCGGTAGATGGTAGACGGCATGGACGCTCTAATAGCCCCGGTCGCTCACGCTGCGCAGTCTGCCCAATCCACTCTTGCTGCGCAGATCGCGCACTTCGCCTGAGACGCGCTTTCCGTGAAAGCTCGAAATGATGGATACCTTTCCACAACTTGCCCGATTGGGAAACTGCTCATCGAGTTCCCGGTGATGTCATGGTAGTGTAGTCCGTGCGCGCCCACGCGTCTTCGACGCGATTGCTTCCACATCATCCGTCGTCACACGCGCATCACGAAGATGCTTCCTTCCAAACCCGCGCGAACACGCGTCTATACAAACTCCGCGGTTCTTCCCGAATATGTAGACGATATCACCTGACGGCAGTAGTGGCAGCGTCGCGTATTGCTGCCATGGGTCATTCGACTGGAGCCTATTCTCCCTGACGACGGTCTACATCTCGCGAACAATGGCATCCTCATCCCCATTTGCAATGGAAAAGATCCAGTGCGCCCGGTTTTACTTCGAGTGGAAGGGCCATCCTATCGACGACCTCGCCACTTTTCGCAATGTTACGCTTGCAGAGCGGCCGGACAAACCAATCGTATATCTGGCTGGGGATTCGTCTCTTGACAACAAGCACTGGGTCGACAAGACTAGTCCTATCCTTCCAACCCAGCTGCCAGGCATTTACGTTAAAGCATTCAAGCACCCTTGTGTTCCGAAGCCAGATGTCGCGTTCTGGATGAACAACGTGGTCGAGCATCGTGCGACTTGTATTAACACGGCGGTAGAAGAATCCATGCTTCGAGATCGAGACGACGTACTCTTACCGCATGACGAGTTCATTCGCGACAACATACGTTCCGACGATGTCTTGATCGTCAGCGTTGGCGCCAACGACATTGCGCTGCGCCCGAACCCTTCCACGATACGACACATGCTACAGCTCGCCTGGCTGACCCAACGCAAAAGCCTAGAGAACGGGACCGCAAGCGCACTGCAGTACTTCAAGCACATGTTCGGTACCAAGACCCAAGACTACATCGCTCGCCTTACCGCCAAAACGAAGCCTCGCGCCGTCATCGTCTGCATGATATACTTCCCACTCGAGTCGGGTCTAGGGCAGACCAGTTGGGCTGATGCGCAGCTCAAGGCGCTAGGATACAACTCATATCCAGGGCAGCTACAAGCCGCCATTCGAGCGATACACGACATGGCGACAAAAGCGATACGGATTGAGGGGACAGAGATGGTGCCTTGCGCACTGTATGAGGTGCTCGATGGCAAGCTGGCCGATGACTATACAGCGAGGGTTGAGCCAAACGAAGCGGGCGGAAAGAAGATGGCTGTTAGGTTCGCTGAACTGCTGGACGAGATTCTGGAGAAGTCGGACATACCGGAGACTGCCTGAGGCATATGTGCATCACTCTCATTTGGCAAAGGATAAGGTTCCTCTACTGGACCCCTGGTTCGACGAATTTGAAACCCGCAATCGTGATCGGTGACTTCTTTCAGAATTGCAAGATGGTTGCATTCCTTGCCTCTTTGTTTAGCGATCGTCTTTGTGAACCTTTCACCTTTATCTCTTGCGCTGCGCCTTTGTTTCGCGCGAACTCGATATGTTCGCTCAACATCCTGTAATGATCGGACTTTGAAGACACACTATCTCACCTCTACCAGCCTTGAAGCAAAACCGACAATCATGGAGAGATACACTTTTGCACGACGTGCGCTCAGCGCGATGCCTCCTACACCCGACGATGTTGTCTTTCTCGCAGCGGTCTTTATTGCATTTGGTTCCGGAGCCTTACTTCTTGACTGGATTCGCCGTGTTCGTGACGTTGGATTGCAGAAGCAGTGGCACGATGCGCAGTCGAGGACCTTGCAGGAAGGGTTCGCTACTTTCGAACAGTTACCGCAGCAGTTGAACGCCATCAACGCCAGTATCGGCGAGCTTCGCGAGAAGGCAGATGGAGCTACCGATCGATTCAATACTATAAGCGATCGTATTAACGATCTCAGCCGAAATATTGGTGCTGGTACTCACGATGCCCAAGGGCCCTCGACAGTGCAGCCAGCAACGGCTGTAAGCTCGGCGGATGCGAACGAGAGTCTTGTGGCAATCAAATCGCACATCAAGAATTTGGAGAGCAAGATGAGCGAGATGTCCGAACAAAAAGACGAGTTAGAGCAGGCCAATGTCGGCTTGAAGGAAGATCTTGAGCGCGCCACCAAGTTCGATGGAGAGGAGCAGAGTGCCGAGTACAAGAGACTGCTCAAGCTGAACGAAGAACTTCAAACTCAGGTCGCCCAAATTGAACATTCCCGAACGATTCTTGAGCAGGAAAAGGGTCGCTCGGCTGCCCATAGCGACCTCGAGATGAAGCAACAGGAGAAAGTGATAAAAGATTACGAGAACGAGATCGAGGGACTAGACGAAAGACTGGCATTGGCTCAAAAAGATCAGACTACGGCGAGAGAGGAGACGAAGCAAATGTCGTCTGAACTCGAAGGATTAGAGAGTAAGCTATCAACGGCGCAGAGCCATCAGGATGAGATGAGAAAAGAGAACGTCCGTCTGTCTTCGGTGGTCAGTGAATTAGAGACGAGCCTGTCCTCAGCTCGAAGTAATCAGCAAAGGATGACACAAGAGATCGAAAACCATGTGGCTGTGGTTAAAAGACTACGAGATGATCTGTCATCAGCTGAGAATGAACGGGACCAGCAAAGGGAAGCAAACGAGAAGCTCGCTGGGCTTCATGAAGGCACGAGACAGTCAGAAGCGGATCAGAGCAAGATCGTAGATGATCTCAAAGAAAAGCTACAGGCAGAGAATCTCAAGAGCGCTGACTTAAAAGTCAGAAACAATGTACTCACCAAAGACATCGGAAAGAACGAGGCCCAAATCGAAATGATGAAAGCAGATGAAGTGCAGAACAAGCAGCAGCTGGACCATCTTACGAGCCAAGTCAAGTCGTTGGAGAGGCAAAAGATGGATCTAGAAGCGACGTTGGAAGAGCGCAGTCAGGCAAAGGAAAGTGAAGATCAAGCCGAGGAGCACAGCGAAGGACTACAGGACAACACGTCTAGTGACGCTTCAGAGCAGATAGACGAGTCGCAGGCAGATATCACGAAGTCAACGACCTCACCTCAGCAATCAAACACATCCGGAACTGCACCTGATGATAGCTGGGTAGAGGTGGCCGGTCAAACCCCCACAGCCCCAGACGGGAGACCGACGACCGATGACGAAAGCGCAGAAGTTGATGAAGCCTTGAGTCCTGTAGTGAATCTACCCATGACACCAGCCGCCGAGGTCAGTGGAAGACCAGCCACAAGAAAAAGCTGGGCAGATGACGATGAACAAGAGTTCGATCCAGAGATCCAGAGCTTTGCTGCTAGAACTGCAAGCTTTCCAAGTGCGCTCCCATCGACCAACTCTCCAGTGCAAGAGAGCCCTGACTCTCCTGCCGCCAAACCACAGCCTACTATCGATACTAGTGTGGGAAACAATGCTTCAGACGCGACCACCCCGCATAGCAGCGTATCGTCACTGCCAGCTGGCACGTCCCCCACGGCTGGTACTGGAACAGCCCTTTGCAAACACTGCAAGATTGACGTCCCGGTCGAGATGATCCAATTGCCCGATGGAAGGCAGTATCCAAACTGGCCGAAGCATTTACAAGAGACAGGTTGCAACATTAAAGCACGGGGTAGCTCTTCTCGGCCGCAAAGCCGTGGAAGCACAAGATCTCCCAGTTCCGCAGGTTTCAGTCCAGGTAGCTTTCATGGGAACTTTACAAACCCTAACAGGAGTAGACCTGACAGCAGGAACAACTACGGTAGCGGTCGGGGGTCGAATCCTTCTAGTCCCATCGCCATGGGTCCCGGTGGTCGTCGTGGGTCTTTTAGTCCCAGAGGAAGAGGTGAAGGTGGTAACAGAGGTGGACATGGTAGGGGTCGGAGCTCAGAGCGTTCTAGTCCCGTAATGAATAGTCCAGGTAGTTATCAGGGCTCTGATAACGGCGGTGATGGAGGACAATACGGTAGGGGGGGTAGAAGCAGACCCAGTAGCGGTGGAGGCAATTGGAGGCCTCGCCGGTTTGCAGATGATGGGAATGATGAAACTTGGTGAAACCCGTCACCCGATAAGGTGAGTGTCAGTAGGGTTCAAGGTGTGATTCAAGTAGCTGTTATGTTTACAGGGCTATCAATGTCGAAAACACGAGTTGTGGGATCAATATGAACTTTTCAGCCAGTACGGGTGTTTAATGCTAGTGGCCAGGTGATATTCCTTGACCGGCCTATTCTTTCTCCCATGTTATGCGACCAGCTACATCCGTAAGCGGTTAAGTTAGGTTAATACTCCCGGGTCTCTCTGCAAAAGGCTTCATACTTCTCTTTCCACTCTTCTACATCCCCTTCTCGCTCTTTGAGCTTGGCTCCAAGCTTATCGTACCGTGCCACGTGCTTACGTAACACAAACTTTAGTTTTGCTACGAAGTTCTTTTCACCCTCATAGGCCTTTTTCCATCCGGCTGCTTCCTCAAGCGCTTTTGCAAGCTGTGCCTCAATATGATCACCGGTAGCCTCCACCGTTTCCTGCTTGGTCTCCGGCGCTGTACTGCTATCTTGGTGTACATGTTCGCTAGTATCGGCTTCGCTAAGGAGACTATCAAGGTTTACGTCTTTTATCTGAGTAGGTGTGGACGCCTCGGTCTTCTCAGACTCATCTGCGCCGTCCTTCTTTTCTTGCGCATCGGCTACCGAAGCTTGCTCCGCAACATGGCGACAAAGCTTCTCGAAGCAAAGCCAAAACTCGTTCTTGAACCCTTCAATAGCGTCGTCGAAGCCCTGCACCAGGAGGTTGTAGCGAAAGAATACCTCGAGCAAGGCCAAGTGCTCATTGTCAACTGCCGTGAGCATAGTAGAGAAAGGCTTCACAAGATCGTACCGGCGCCGCAATACCGGTAGTGCTTCCTCGCCATTAATGTCGACGATCGCCCAAGTACTCCCGCTGAACGGAAACGGATCGGACAGTACTATCTTGTGGTGTTCTAGGTCCCAGAGGATCTCTAGGGGTTTCATCGTTACCCGTGGGTGTTGAGTAGCTGCTTTGGAAGCTTTCTGCCATCCTATGATCGTGCCAAAGTGACCGGGAATACGTTCGTCGAGCTTGAGTGAAGCTATATTCAGCAGTGCTTGCAGCTCTTCGGGGAAGTACTTCAGTGCGTAGCGGTGTCCATCCGCAAGACTGGATACTGTCTTCGTGTGTTGAAACTTCTGGGAGTTGGGGTTTGGCGTGTCTTCGCGCTGTGTCGTCTTCGTAATACGGGTCTGGTCTGTCATGTTGTTTGGCTAGGGAAAGTTCTGTTCGCGCGTTCGGGAGATGTGGCGGTGGTGATAAGCCGTTCCAAGTTGTGTTATATCGCTAATTTGTTTGTTGGTGATTGGGGTCTTGGACGCGCAATGCGACTAGCGAGTGCTAGATTCTTCACTGAAATTTTAGAGATCGCGTTTGTCTCATGAATGAGCGCTGATTGTCACATTTGCTCATCCATCCATACGCCAACACCCACACACAATTACACATCAGCCGAAGAAGCAACAAACAGCCAATGCATATCGTTGATACCTTTACACATCGTACGCTCTTTGCGGTACTCTGTCGATTTGGTGGGGGTGTTACTTCGCCTGGAATGAGATGATGAGGACTAAGACCGAGACAGAATTGTCCAAAACGAGGCAAGTAATGGTAAAATTGCTTGGCAGGAGAAAATGTGAAGTGAAAGTTGGCAGAGCCTTGACTAGTCATTACATTATGGCATTGTTGGAACTAAAGATCACGGGACTTTTGACTCATTTTATAGCGTCTTCAAGCCCTCCATTTCCGTCCCAAAGCCCTCTTGCTCCACTGGTGTCCGCCAAAGCTGTCACCCTTGCGGGCCTTCTCCTCGTAAAGCTTCTTGCTCAGCTGCTTATACAGGAACTTGCCGTTGTTGTGGAAGTTGATGCTGTGGTCACTGTCGGTGAAGAAAGTGTTCTGCATCTTTTCAGGAGTGACCTGGTTGACCATGAGCAGGTCGACCAACGCAGCTGAGTTCTGGAAGTGGACGTTGTCGTCACCGGTACCGTGCTGGATGACAACACCACCAGCGATGTTCTTGAAGCCAGTGGCGTCGTGGACACGGCTGCGGTTGTAGCCTTCGGGGTTGATGTCGGGTGTCTTCATGTAGCGCTCGGTGTAGAGAGAGTCGTAGAAGCGCCAGTCACTAACAGGGGCGGTGATCATGGCGTAGCTGATGATTGGGTCACCGACCTCAACGACCTTGGAGGAGAGGTAGCCACCGTACGACCAACCCCAGATACCAATGTGCTCGCTGTCGATCCACTCGTTCTTTGCCATCTCCTTGGCAGCCCAAATCTGGTCTTCAGCCTCAAGTTCACCGAGGTTAGAGGTGACGAGAGATCGGAAAGCACGACCCTTACGACCAGTACCACGGTTGTCGACGGTGAGAGTTACGTATTCGAGCTCGGGATCAGATGCAATGTAAGCTTTCCAGTTGAGTGCGTTGAAGGACTTTTGTACCTCCTTGGCGTTGGGGCCACCGTACGGAAGGAGAATGAGAGGGTACTTCTTGCTGGGGTCAAAGTTGGGTGGAAGACGGAGCATAGCATCCAGGGTGTATCCGGAAGGGTGCTCCATATCAAGGTACGTAATGTTGGGAAGAGCATAGCCCTGAAGCTTCTCGTAAAGCGCAGTGTTGTTGACGATTGTGCGAATTGGCTCGGTGGAGTTGATAGAGTAGAGCTCCTGGTATGGCACGTCGGGACCGGCGTAACGAGAGACATAGTATGAGCCACCAGAAGAGAACGATGCGGTCCAGAAAGCGGTCACGGTGTCGTCGACCAGCGCAGTCTTCTCACCGGAGAAGCTAACGGAGTACATGTGGGACTCAGCACTGTGGTGCTCGGTGGAGGTGTAGTAGATGAGTCCGCGAGAGTAGTCAACCTTGAGAACGCTGAGAACCTCCCATTCGCCAGATGTCAGCGCAATGGGCTCTCCGCCGCTGACAGGGAAGAGGTAGATATGCGCCCAGCCGCTCATATCAGAAAGATCCATGTAGTACTCGGTAGCGTTTCCGTAAGTGGCGTTCGCGGTCTCAACAGCTCCGATGTATCGAACCTGCATCAAGTTCTCTAGCCATCCATCGGTGCCGTCACGCTCACGAGTGACCTTGGACGACCCGGCTTCAACATCAACGAGTACCAGCTTCTCCATGTCTTGGACACGGTTGTAAGCACGATACATGACCTTGCTGTGCTCCTCGGTAAGCCAGACAACTTCGCCAATGACGAGATCATCCTCTGGGAAAGCATCAATGGGGACATTGGTGTATTCGCCAGACTCCACATCAAGCAAGTTCATGACCACCGTGGGGTTCTTAGTGCCAACCTTGGGGTAGCGGAGCTCCAATTCGTTGGGGTAAACGGGGACGTATTCAGCATCGTCTTCGATGTAGTATGGGATTCTGAATGTGCCAACACCAGTCTCGTTGAAGCTGAGGAAAGCAATCCTAGTTCCGTCGGGGGAGAACCATAGAGTGTAGCGGTCGCCAAAGATCTCCTCCTCGTAAACCCAGTCAGGAATAGCGTTGAAGTAGTCGGGGCCTCCATCTTCCGTGATCTGGGAGATAGTGCCATTAGTGGACATGTACAGGTTGTTGCCCTTGACGAAGACAATCTGAGACGAGGAAACCGGGCTCCATTCGGCGTACTGAATATCGCCGACGGACTCAGGGTCGAGAGATACGGACTCTCCGGTCGCGACATCCATAATCAGGTAGTCGGCGAAGTAAGAGTGGCGGTACTGCTTGGTGTAGTTTACAGCCCACATGACCTTGGTCGCGTCGGGCGAGATGAAGTAGTCCCAGTAATCAGCCGGGACCTGATCAGCCGAGATGAAAGTTGAGGATTCGCCGGTGGCGACGTTCTCGAAGACAAAGTCTCCAGACGCGGCTGTGTAGATGTAATCGCCATCCTCTCCGGTGCCAACCCACGTGAAAGATCGGGTTGAGGGCGTCAAAGAACCTGGAGCGTTTGTGGTCTCATTGTAGCTCAGACGCTTTGTGCCATTACCGAGAGGTTGGTGTGGCATGCGCGGAGGGTCGATGGCGTGAATCAACTGCAGCGCCGCAGCGAGGATCGCGAAAGAGCGCATGGCGACGAAGAACGCACTTGCAGGAAGCAAGAACGATACGTCGGGTAGAAACTCAAGACGAATGCAACGAAGCACCTGTCGTGCTCAAGCCAGGCAACGGACCTTTTTATCTACCTTCCACTGCATCTATCGGTCTAATTGATATGCGCATCGTAGTTGCCGCATTGAGCAGGTGTTAAGCCTCCCAAGGCGCGCTGCGTCCCCGCCAAGAGGCACCAGCAACCGGCATCTCGGATAAACAAGGTCTGAAGTGGACGCCTCGTGTTGCCCGCATCCTTTGCAAGCGGCGCAGTAATGTTGAATAGGAAGGTCAGTGAAGAGTGTAGAGCCTGGCATTCCGTCAAAGAGATTGGGATTGCTTCGTACCTGGGCATGTTGGTGGATAATAATGCCATCTGGGGTTTACCAGGTTTCGGGCACGCTACGGTATTAACGGGGCCGGATGGTCTGTGCATCAGACAGGTCCGACCTTATCGCGTCCGCATTGTTTCTTTCTTGGAGTTAAAACTGGACTGACGACTGAAGCTACCGTTCTATTGCAACTGACCCAGACGTTCATTGCTGTAGTGGTGCCGCAATTCCCTCTTGCTACGTGTGGCCACTTCCAATGTACCTAGCTACATCCTTGTATACATGGGTTTTGCGTATCTGTAGAAATACCGAATAACCCGTGGAAGAGACCCAAATCGCCATCGTTTGGTCTCAGTGTACCTGCCCAAACAATCATAGTCCCTCCGGCATCCTCGTCGGATCGTTTGACCTCGTGCCTGGCACATTCGATATATCTGCCACTCTGCTCGCGACGTCTCGAATGGTCTCGCCGACCTTCGTCTCATAGTCGTCGACGTTGGGGTTCACGGTCCAGTACTCCAGCTTGCGTATCAACTGGTAGAAAGCAGTTGCCAGCAGTGCACCCAGCCCTGGACCAACCCAATAGATCCAATGGTAGTGTGGAAAGCTTCCCTGTACCACACAGACCGCGAAAGAGCGAGCTGGATTGATAGCTGCGCCGGTGTAGGTTGAAGCCCTATAGTTAGTGAGTAACTTGCCCTAGTAGTGTAGTGCTGACTAGTGCTGACTACAGATAGCTGCAGAGCAAACAGGGAAGACTTACATGAGAACGCACGCAAACACTGCCAAACCGATACCGACGGGCGCGATGAATGTAGCCTTGTGTTTTTCCGTCGCCAACATGAAGATGGACACAACGACCTGTGCGGTAATGAACATCTCGATAAAAAGCCCCTGCGTGACTGTTGTGTTCTCTCCCAGCTCAGTGGCTGCCAGAGCACCTTCAGGTAGGAGTCCATAAGCGACAGCGCTTGCTAGGATAGATGCTGCGAGCTGGCTAAAGACGTCGAGAAGACCATCAAGTGGTGGTACGGCGCGGATGAGGACTAACGCCATAGTCACAGCAGGATTGAAGAGTCCACCGCTAATCCTGAAGAAGGTCCAGGCATTCACCGTTACAGCCACGCCCCAGACCGTAGCGATGAGAAGGATCTTAGCAGGATCTGCTGAAGCATCGCCTCCATTGAACTGTGCAGCAGCCGCTGTGTTGTTGATGACGGCCGAGTTGCCGCCTAGTCCGATGAGCATGAAAAAAAATGTTCCCACGAACTCAGAGATCATTGCAATAAATCGGTTGCGAATGCGTAGAGGTACCTTGTCGCGAAATTGGTCGAGAAAATAGAGGTGGCCTTTGCTTGTGGTGACTTCGAGATCTCTATTGCCCTCCTGATTGTGAACGGGGAGTATCGGTAACTTTATGCGACGTAGTCTTCGGCGCCATACTGGCAGCTGTGATGCGTTACTGTTTCGTTTCCCGCTGTTGTGCTCATTGGCGCGTGTCGACGACATGACGAGTGTTGGTATCCAACGTGGAGAAAGAATACCTGACTCGATAGGTGATGCGACAGTACGAAAAGTTTCGGTGTTCAGAACATGTAATAGAAACCTAAATGCTGGTCGTTGTCGATATTCCAGTGGGCCGCGAGCTCAAGGTCGTGCGAGTTGTTTTGGGTATGCAGTGCTTAGTCCCCCGCTGCAACGATAATAGCAGCAGATGCACAATCCCACATCCTTCAGCCAGCACAGGGCGAATGGCATGATGATGTGCTGATGCGCTATCCTCCGCGTCGGTTAATGCGTCCGATGTGACATCATTCGGACGTATGCTGATTCCGCGGGCATTGAAAGACGTTTACACATTCTCGTCCAGATTGATAGAGAAGTGACAGTGCATAGTTAGAAGGAAACCGAACTTCTTGTTTTCAAGCCTGAGCGCCATCGAAGTTGTGGGGAAGAAAGATTGAGGACGCTGCGGCGCGCCCAAGGAGTGTGCGGACCCCCGAGTGACTTTACCGTATTGGGTATAGCTCACTCTCTAGCTCGGACTGAGCCCTGGAGGATAGATCGAGCTGGCGACGTGGTAACCTTTTAATGTAGCATGCCTAAGGGAACTCTACAACTGGTTACTGAGATGAAACAAGGCTTCATCGGGAAATACTGTATATGTATGGTGACAGGCGTGCTTCGTGCGCGTGAGGTAATCTATGACAAGCTTGACGAAAACTGCTAGAGGATTATGAGCTGTGGAAAGAGAGAAGGCCAATGATTTGGTTCTGGAACTGGGTACTAGGCGGACATGTCTCTGAGATTACGCGTACACATTTACGGTATGAGAGTCATGATCGCGGAGCAGAACTACCTGCGCTGCACGTAGTCTTTAACTGCTGCTCGAGCATCCTCGCCACCTTCAATGTACTCCTTCAGTATAGCCGCGGCTTCTATCGCGTGCGCGACTTTCCGTACAGGCGTACCTGGTCGTGTCATATACTCTTCCATGTCGAGCTCTTGAATGATTAGCAACGCGACATATTGCTGGTGTGCTGCGTCCAATTCTGCGTGCTTCATGAGTACCTTCATCTCATCTGACCTAAATCTCCTAAGAAGACCGCCACAAATGCGTGTCAGCTCAACACAGTCGAGCGTAAGGTACTGTGGGAAGTCTGAGACATGGTTGCGAAGACGCTCGAGAAAGGTGGTAGGGTTCTCTTCGTCGAGGAACGATTTGATGCGGGAGTTTTTACTCTCTCTAGAGTGTTTCGCGACCATCTCAGCATCGAGACGCGTCAATGTGCGGCGTAGAGGCTCACGATCATGCAGATGATCTGCAACGATAGCCATGCTGGGTGGGAAGCACAGGGCGCCAGACCTCTTCTCTCGCAATACCGCCAGATTCTTGATAGTTGCCTCCCGACCTTTCCCAGTGTTGCGAGCTCGAACAAGTTCTGGCGCGCATCCGAGCGCGATGAGAACGCGGTTGCTCATTTGCTTTGCGCTTTCCGTAGGAAGTGCACCAAGGAATATGGTCTTGATGTGCATGTCGATCAGTGAGTCGAGCGTTTTCCACGGAACTTCAAGATAGCCTAGTTGCCGAAGTGCGTTATACAAATGGCACATGAAGAACAAGCTGCGATCATCGTTCGCGAAATCGAAACCAATCTCAGCCCGTAGGAACTGCAAGTTGAGAGCTAGCTTTGCCGGTGTAAGGGGATTGTTTTTGCGCAGGAAGTTTTGATCTTCCGATGGTATAATATGTTCCTCGCCAAATTGTAGACGCGCCTCGGTCGTCCCTGCGAGGTCGGGAATTGATACGCATGACTTGATAAGTTGTTCTTTCCTGGCAACACTGAGATCGAGATACTTCCAGATGTTGCGATGGAATCCAGATAGGGCTGCGGCAGGGTGATTGGAGTCGATCGCTCGAAAAATCATATATCGCTGGATATGGCCAGGCCACTCAATGGTCCACGAGAGCAAGGTGTTAAACTCATGTATCTTGTCTTGGGAACGTTCCGGAAACGATATACCATCGGAACGACAGTGGTCGGACTGGTCCGATATGACGTTCGCAAGCCGGGCGACGCGGTGGAAAGGCTCATGCACGTTCGGACTGTGTAGACCCCATATCCCTTCTAGAAGGCTTGCGGCAATGGCTTCCTGGTTTCTACGACTTGGAACAGCGAGTGTGCGGGATACGAGGTCGAGACTTGCGTTACTGAGGCAACGTTTGGTGTTGGGCGGTGGTCCATTTTGCTCCCACCCATCAAAACGTAGTGTCTGAGAACAGTCAGTTTGGGTCCTCAATTAGTCTGTCATGACTAACCATCTCCAGCTGTAGCTCTGTAAGATAGCGTACAAATTTAGCGTCAAATAGGATAAAATCCTTGTACGGATCGAGTCCTAATTGCGGTTGTCTCTTGTGTACCAGCTTTACTACAGCCGGGTATCCTCTACCTTCATATGCAGCGACGCGGAAATCGTAGAGGGCAAGGGCGGTCGAACTCCAATTGTAGAGTGAGGCTAGCTCCTTGAACATGGCTTCGTTTACTTTGTCGTTGTTATGCTCCATGTCGTCTTCGATCTTATACAACAGATCGAGCGCTAGATCTGATAGGAGAGATGTAGTCTCTAAGCTTACATCTTCCTCAGACTGGTCAAAGTACTGCTTCCATAGGTTGATTACCCATGATGTAATTGAATCAGCGTCGTCCTTGAAACAGAGCCAACGCAACCGTGTTTCCTCATCGGAGTCGATGGCCGGCTCATAACGAGCTGATGGTACAGCTGCAGCCGCTCCGTAAGCTAGACCTTCGTCGGGAGGTGTAGTTAGGTTGGCTGTTCTTTGTACACCATCGGTCAGCTCAACGTCCCGGAGGACGTCAAACAGATTACGAAAGGTCAGACCCGTGTCTTGTCGTTTTGCCGAATTATCCAAAGAGGTTTCTTGGACTCGAACAACCTTTCCGATCATGTCGACTACCTGTCGAAGTGTATCGAGAAAGTATACGTGACCGGCGTTACCTTCATGGTCCGGATGTTCGTTAGCGAATTTGGTGGCGTACTCTGTACGGCCTCGCACAGCTTCTTTGAAGGCGTCCCATGCAGGCTTAGACATGACGAGTTCCTGGTCAAGGTTCTCCAGATAGCGGGCTTGGCGAAGTATCTCCTCAGTTGACACTTTGTAGATTGTTTTCGAGGCCTTGATCTTAGGTGCGGGTGCTTGACTTTGCAGTTGCTCCTTCTTCTTTGCTTCTTTGCGCGCTTTTCCCTTCAACCGGCCTGTCTTGATCGAAGTGGTCGTGGGCGTTGCCGCGGCTGAAGCTCCGGAGTTGGTATCGCCACCGACTTGCACATTGCTGCCTACAACAAAGTCGTGTTAGAGGGTACGGTCCGTAGGCAGTGGTGGAAGAGGAAATCAATACTTACCGTGCTCGAAAGCAGTCTCGATGAGCCAGGTGATGGCGACATTGGTCTGCAACTTGATTCTGGCGTATCTACCCATTATATTAAGACTTGATGTCTTATGCAGAATCGTTTTAGAGATAAATTGCTGGCCGTGATATCGATGCGGGGTTGATTATGTCCTAAACGCTTCGGGCTCAAAAGTGGAAAGGTGAGATATACACGTACACCCCTTGGCTGATTGGTCGCCCAGTTCTTTCGGAAACGGCGCACTGACTGTGCAGGCGTAAACGTCTCGTGACAACGGCCTCTAACGGAGTTGCCTTCTGCCCCGCTCCCTTTCTCTCCACATTAACACTAGATTGTACGCACTCGCCACCCAATATGGTCGTAGTGACAAAGGCCAGAGACAGTAGCGAATTATGGATGATAATCGGGGAAGGGAGTCGTCGCTTTCTTTAATACATATGTCTCCGCCCTCGCTTATAAACACTGTGATAGCAAGCAAGCGTGACAATTGCCCAGTGATGGGCCAGAAATAGCGTCAATGTCGATTACCTTAGGATCATGTAGCTTGATGACAATCATACCACATATCATAGCCTCCTAGTATTTGTCATTCCACTCACGAAGCAAAACAACAACCACAGGACTTACTGATAGAACCGTCACCCGAGCAATATGGACGATGTGGCGTATTGAGTAAATGTTACTGACAGGCGCGGGCCGCCATCGCAACGATGTTTCCAGACTTGGACGAGGATAGTTGCTGGCATATGTGCACAGCTCAAGTAAGATGCACATTGAGTAAATCGAGCAAAATGATAGCGATGGCGGTTCAAGAAACAACTGTTCCGAGGTCCACGAAAATGATTGTTCAGAAGCGAGAAAGCGATAAGATGCACTCACGTGAAGCGCGATGGCAAGGCTTCGGAACAGCTTCCATCATGGCGGCAGCCGTACTGTATGAATGCGCAAAGACGCGACAAAGACGTGCTGCAGATGTGAATCGGGTGATGATGGAACGAGGAGTGCCGAAGGGAGACGCGAAGACTATTGATGATTACTAAGCCGAACTTGAGTTGGCTAGCCTCGGGCTTCGGAACCCATGCCCAGCACCTGCCATGGAAAGAACACCAACACGTAGCCACGAGAGCGAAGTCGACATCATACTGCGTCCCTGAATTGAGATGCTAGCAATATACATGCATGCATATCCATCTATCTCACAATGAATCAAACTTCTTACACAAAACGATCGCCGCGTCGGGCGTGAAGTTCAGGTCCTTTCACCACCACCCAACAACGCGTCCAACCAACGTGAGCGCAGTGACTTCGTCTCCTTCGTCTCCTTCGTGTAACCCAGCCGAGTCCCCACAAGCTTGCGATCTAGGTTAATCTTTCCCTGCATCCCGGTATCCGACGCGCGACGTGCAGCTATGTGCATCTCGCGGTCTTTCCGGAAAGTCATTGCGGGCGTTGGCTCGGGGTGATGTGGATGCCGTGTTGACAGGTTCGTCTGGAAAGACTCTTTGCGAGGGGAAGAAAGCCAGATTTGGTGGGCCTCGACGTCGCGGTAGCGTTGCCACGCTGCTCGGGCGCTGGTGTCGGATGGTGTGGTGGGAGACTGTTTACATTCGATTAGTCCGTGTATGTCATGATAACGGTTGTGACCTTCCTTCATCTCAGGAGCTGTAGCATTAGTGAATGCAGGCTTCAAGGCGGTCTTATGAAAGCTTCGAGCTTGAAGCATCGCGACGCGGGCGGTAGAGGAAAACATATTTTTAGGGTCTCTTTAGGCGACTTGTCAGAGCTCTCGCAATGTCGGAGTGTGAAAGGGGATTAAGTGATTAAACATGTGTTGTTGTATTTATTGCAAAAGCCGAAATGTGCTTGTGAATACACAATCGAGGGTGTTTCTTATCAACGTAACCATGGGTCGGCTGTGTGTGTCGACCGATCCAACCCAATGATATGACACTGCATATCACCAGAAGTTGTAGGCAGAGGCTGCATGAACAGAACCCTTTCCCAATACTAGACTGAGAAATGTATGGGGCTGAAGTAAGAGTGTAGGAAGGGTGGTAGTGCGTCTGGGAGTCCTGGAATGCAAGACCTACAAATAATTGGACGTCGACATTTGCAGAAGCCACCTCGTACTTCAGCCTGACGCCATATTCAGTAGACAGTAGGCTATGGAGGAAACCTTCCAAATACCGGTTTCCAGCACATCTCGCATGCATATTGTGCTCGATCGATGGGGAGTTCTGCGATTATGTATGACCATCAGTACTGGAAACATACGGTGTGCATGCATTTCATGCAAGAGTTAACGTCGCTCAAACCACCGAGAGCATCGCAGATGGCCGACTTCCAAATATCGGATATCCTGGGAGTAGTATCTATAGTCTTCTTGTGAAGTGGTTCTTCGCAAGCCCGGTCGGCCGTACCAAGCAGATTGCACAGGGTCGATAAGCCGTGGTTCGGGCAGTCTGCTAGCGGGTTCTTGTCACAACTACAGGGTCTAGAGACTGGTCGAGACGGGTGTAGGTCCTCCCGCTTAGGTAGAGTGGGCGCGTTTCGTCCTTTCATGATGAGTCGAAAGCCTGAGCTGGTGCTCGCAAGTGCTTGAAAGCCAGCAGGGCATGGATGGGGACATAGCGCCTCGAGGACAGGGTACTGGCGAACAGCTTCAAGGAGGTTGGCCATTTTGTCCGCCCTGTACGGGGCTCGTGGAAAGTTCAATCCATTCTACATGCTGGCGACCTCTTAAATAATGTTGAGTAGGCCATAATGTGGCTTAGCTGACTACCAGAGTATGTAGCCATAGTACGCAGTGTTGTGCTTGCTGCTGCCTGCGCAAATCCAAGGTTACCACATGGCTAGAGTGGCTCTGTGTAATCGGATACTGAGGTCGAATCGGACCGAGAGGGCGTCGCAGTAGTAGCAGCAGAATGTATTAAAGGATATGATGTTTAGCGCTCACATGAGAAGCAACAGCGGACCGCGGCATCAGCTAGTGTGATGGTGAAGGGGAAGGGAAGAGAGAAGAGCAACGATGCGGAGGGTAGACTGCTCTGATTGGCTCGGCGCACGTGCCATCTGAAGCTCCACCGGAAAGCATCGCGAGCTTCATGTTCAGTTCCAACCAAACCACGTCACGCGCAAGCAACACGTTGCTACCTCTCGCTCACCCAGCCCGCAATTATCCACCTCGAGTCTCACCGGTCGAAGGGTCTGTCCGAGTTCCTACACCTCCGCGACACAAGCCCACAGCAAGTCGCAACCTTTTCCATATCACACGATACTGCGAAACATTGCGCAAGCATCCTTCGGTCCCTCGCAGAAAGACTTTGAAGAACACGGTCTATGCGCTCTGACGTACCGGCTGAATAACTCACTCCCGCCGAATCTTCGAACCAGCGGTTTTTGAAACAACATCCTCACAATGGCACTAAACGCCTACCTAAACAGTAAGTTTCTCTTCCACAGCTTCCTGCCACATCATCCTCCTAACACATTTTAGAGCGCGTATCAGTCCTCACCCTCGATGGCCGTACCATGGTCGGGCTCCTCCACTCGTGCGACGGCAGCATGAACCTCGTTCTCCAAGAAGCCGTCGAGCGCATCATCCGACCGATAGAAGACGAAGAACCTAGTGAAGAAGTGCCTCTCGGACTATACATCATACGCGGTGATAGTGTGGCGGTGGTGGGCAGAGTGGATGAGGAGATTGACACGAAGATTGATTGGGGCAAGGTGCATGGCGAAGTGCTAGGTGGAACGAGACATACTTGAGCGGGCGAGAGGCAGCGAATCGGGAACGGAAGATGACATACGAGAAAAGACATGCGTAACGGGCGAAGGAATTTAAGGGCACGCCGAGAACGAACGATCTCCGCGGTTTGGGACGACATCAAGCGCCGGAGGGAGAGACTGCGCGCACACCTCATAACGGGCGCTATTTGGATCGGCTAGAGACATACATGCATACACGGAGGAAACGATACCCACGAGAGCGCAAATTTAACGCTGAGTATGTCATCTCACATAACCATTCCATGCGCCTTTGCTGACCTCTCAGAATATGAAATGCATTTGTTTGTATACACATCAAGGTCGTGAAATCGACAGACGGTAGCATACCTATGCTACTTGACAATGACGCCCTGCCATGCGCCATGCTTATGTGAAGTTCCTTCATTGTGACCATCCCTAGTGACTCAATGCAATCGCCCTGCTCACTGTATACTCCTTCCTACGCCCTGTCCAATCCCCACAATATTCTTATGATCGTTAGGGTTTGCAGCAGCTTCGTACATCACTGAAACAGCCTCCTTGTTCAGCTTCATAAAGTCGCCCTTGAACGCCAGATAGCTTATTCGCGTCTCGTCCTCTTCGCCATTGCTCCAGTTGTCCTCGAAGAACAAGCTCAGACTACGCGTAGTGCCAAACTTTGCCCTCTTGACGGGTATCTCCTGCACCTCACTCGTCTGACTGATCTCGAGTATCTGTGTGGGTTCCTTCTCGGCGGCCGTCTCGAAATCGAGCGAGTCTTCGTTAACGAAGACTTTGAGGGTCTTAGGACAGTCGGGGCCGGGGCTTGTACGCAAGATGATGGAGTGTAGGCGGACTTGGCCAGTGAAGGGGACCGTCATAAGGATTTGTTCGTCGGCGCTGCTCTTCAGCTCGGGTTCCGGGTCGAGGCGCTGCGCCCATGTCTTCTGGCAGATTGCGCGGCCGCTGTTGGATTCATCTTCGTTGAGGGTGACGAGCTTGGGGAAGTCGAGTTGTTCGTAGAGTATGTTTTGTAGCGCGGGCGTGATGTCATCGCTGTGGTCGTGGCCGTCGCCATGCGAGTGGTCGTGATGCTCGTCGTGACAGTGTGAGTGCGACATGTTTGCTGGGGATGTCGGGTGCGTTTGCTCGGTAAGGCTGAGGGTGGTGGGGTGATGGCGGGGTAGCTTTGAGCTTTATGCAGAGAGCCTGGGGTAAAGCTTGTTGATGCAATGTCGGAAGGTTCTGGTGGTTTGGAGATGGATGGCAGGAGAGATGGCGTAGTTGTAGGGCAAGGGCTATGACGCAGCGCGCTCGGCGTGT